TATATTGAAAGAGAAAGTGGAATGGCTATTGCCAAAAGACAAGAAAACTAGAGACCCTTGAAACTAGACTGGAAGCAAGAAAGGAGTTGACAAGAGTGAAGAAGGCTTCACTCTTGTCTCTATATATATTATCTAACTAGGGGCTATGTGGCGATGTCCTATAGGACCTCTAATATGTGTTGACTTTGTAGGACACATGCCTTGACTTACAAGGCAAGTTTTTCTATGTGTGGGCCACATAGTTAGCTTGATCTTCAAGCTAACAACATGTGTGGTACATGGCCAACTTATTGACCACGCTTCTAATCCAAAAAGTCAATTAAAGACACCTATGAAGTCATAGCAGCATCTATGAAGCTTTTAGGAAGCTTCCATATTAAATATTATAGAATTAACTTCCTTTTATCTACTTTTACTTACTTCCACCTATTTGTATATGTAATTTCTAGCTTACATGAGTATGTCCGTGATACTATGTGGTATATATATAAAAAAATTACCTTACAAATTAAGATATGTGTCTTGCAAAGTTAACACATTTTGGAGGTCCTATAGGATATTGCCACGTAGTTGTTAGTTAAGAATATATATATATATATATATATATATATATATAGAGAGAGAGAGAGAGAGAGAGAGAGAGAGAGAGGCAAGAATGAAGCCTTTTTCACTCTTGTCAATGCCTTTTTATTCCTTAGTTTTGTTTCAAGACTTTCTAATCTTCTTGTCTTTAGAAATGGCCAATTTAGTTTAATACTATACCATCTTTAAGTAATTTTTCAATCTTTTTGAGTGATATAAGAGTGTATTGAGGTTATCTTTCCTTGAGATTCATATCCTTGATATTTATAGGTATTTTAGTAAAAGGAGGTTTAGATTTGAGATCAAAGTTAGAAGTTGGATTCATCTTAGTACAAGAAAAAAATTAATCTAAAATTTTTATTTAGCCTTTGAGCTACTTTTTATATTTGAATTCATTTGAGCAAAATTATGCTTCTTACAACTCACTTGTAATTAAGGATCATTTTTTCTCTTAAGGAGGCTCACTCTCTTGATATGAATATAATACTCAATATTTTTGTTTCTATAAAGAATACAATTTATGTCCATGTTTAAGTAATAAGAAGCTAGAAAAAACTACAATACGTTATTTGATGTTGTCTTAATAATGACAACATCATCTCTCAGCAAATGTTTGAAGAGCAATATGGTTCTAATATGAACCTAGGATTGCTAGTTATAATAGGTATACATTAATTTTAAAAGAAATTTGTAGTTACTTACATAAAAATAATATGCATAATATCAATAGCATCCATAATATAATATATGTTTTTTTTAAATAATATATTATAATAAAATATAATAATATTAATAAAAATATAATATATGTGATAAAAATTAAATTATTCAACATTATATGTATGAAACAAAGAGCTATTTTAAAACAATATTTTTATATATTTTGTATGTATTGTGAACTCCATAGAATTAAAATGATTGTATTTTTGGTTTCAAAGATCATTGAAACTGGTCATTTGAATCACAATGAAAAATTCATGATGTATAAATTCTAAATGATTTTTTTTTTCTAGAATAAATCAAAAAGTCACATTTGTATAAAATCTTGCAAATATCCTTCACTTTTGTACTCTAAGAAACTCCATTTATAACACTACATATGCTTTATAATAGTTACAATAATTATAATCATTCAATTTAGCTAAAATTATAAGTGACTAATTATAGATATAATAGATAGAATTATTTATAAATATTTAAAATAGATCAATTCACTAATAAACATAGTTTCCAATTGCTATCTTCATCCATTTATCCATGTGATTAGCAAGCATATTAACGTTTACTACAAGTTTAGTAGAAAACACAATTTTATGGCTTTAATGTTTAATAAACCAAATTTTCTCTCATTAAATGCAAATTATTTGTCAAAGATCAAAATCCCATCTATTCTCTTACTTTAATGTCCACACTTTTGTATACAATTCAATCCACTATTTGTATAATAATTTGGACAAGAATTCCAAATTATCAAATGTATCATTGTAAAATGATATCAAATAATTTGTATTACATTCATAGTTAAATACTTCTAATAATTGTTTGATTTTTTTTTAAATGTACCCAAGTTTTTATGAGAGCATTTTATAATTAATGCTAAATTTTTAGATTAGGATATTGAATTAATATGTGATTACAATAAAAAGATACAGATAAGAAGTTTTTTTTTTTTAATTTATTTTATAGAGAAGTGACATTGTATGAGAGAATTTTAACAAATTTAAGAGAGACCCAAGGCTCTCAAATAAGAAATTATTGACACATGTTTAACTATTTTTTTCAAAATTGTTCCAAAAAGGTAAGTTTAAAAGTTATTTAGGATTGTGGTTCAAAGGTCGCTTCCATCTCTTCTTTATCAAGCCACCAATCAGCAAACAAAGAATTGTTGAATTGGCAGGATGGAAGGTAGAGAAAAATTAAAAATTAAAACAAAATATATATTTTTTACTTGCAAGCTTCTCTTCATGTTTAGTTCTAAAAAATAAAGACTAAAAAATATATATTAATCATATTCCTTCTTTAGCTAATCATATTCCTCGGTAACTATTCATGCAAAAATCTTAATTTTTCATAAATATATATATATGTATGTATGTATGTAAGTATGTATGTATGTATATATATGTGTGTATGTATGTATATATATGTATGTATGTGTATATATATATATGTATGTATGTATGTGTATATATATATATGTATGTATATGTATGTATGTATGTATGTATGTATGTATGTATATGTGTATGTATGTATATATGTATGTATGTATGTATATATATATATATTATTTTTATTCCACCATTAAAAATTAATTTCACAAATACAACACATTAAAATTAGACATGCCCAACTATAACAAAATTATTTGTATTCATATGTAAATATAAAATATGAACCTCATTTTGAATAGTAATCCATCAACATTTAACATCACACTGATTTTTAATCATAAATTTCAATTTCAGTTTTCAAAGAATTTAAAAAATTAAAAATTAATTATCATGTATCTAATAAAAAATAAAAAACCACAAAAAATATTGTCTTTCATTCATATATATATATATATATATATGTGTGTGTGTGTGTGTGTGTGTGTATGTATACATACATCTATGAGTATGTTAAATAGATCCAAGTTTTTACTAAATCAATCCACCCATCATAAAAATAAACTTTTAGATTCATTTTTCTACTATTGTATGTGCAACCACATTCATCACGTTCAACCACATTCCCACATCAGACACGGTGGTTGCTGCAGAAAACGAATCTCTGGAATGATTGCTTGTGGCACAGGCACACTTGTAGGACCGTTGCGTTCATGTGTAGGTGAAGTGATCGATGTTGCGAGTTGTTATCAAAAGCTCTGGGAAGCAGAAGGAGAAGAACGTTTGGACATGGTTTTTGTGGCAATTTTGTGTGTAAAAGGCAAGTACGCTTGAGGAGACGCTGTGTGAGAGAGCACTCATGCCCTTCTCGGATGTTTGCAAACATAGAGCTGAACTATCTCTCCTCGCACTCACATCGAAGTTCTTTGATCGTTTCGAAGCCTTGAGGTATGTTTGAGTACTGCACTCCACCACACAATGCACATCGTTTAATTCAAGACATTGAAGCCAACTAGAAACAACGTTTTTATTCAACCGTGAGCCAGAATGCAGAGAGGCAGCTGCCGACTCTCTTAAACAGTTATTTATTTATTTATGTATTTATTTATTTATTTATTCTATCGCTGCCAAAGCAGATAATAACTCGGAAGTTTTGTGCCGCAAGAGCCTCCACTATCGCGTGTAGAGATGCTCCAGACATGGTCGCGGTAATGGCTGATCAGACTCGCAAAAACCCCACGAGAGTGATAGGAAAGTTTGCGATAGCAAGACGAAGGGTTCTCACGCAACGAGACAAGCGATGAGTTGCTCATCGGGTTGTATCCAGACGGTAAGCTCTAGGTTGTAAGGATTGCAACAACTAACTTAGCTGTCAGAGGAAGATGAGCTGCAGCAATGCCACAAGAGAGAGAAGGGACCAGGTTGCGAGAAGCCCAGGTCGGATCGATCCAGTGGTGGGGCCATGACACATTGTAAGGCAATAGTGTGGTCACACAAGGACAGGCTTTTCCCACGGCGTGGGGCCATGTCGACACTGCGATTGTTCTCGAAACAATTGTCAAAAATAGACCAGGGAAGCGTATCGCGTGACCTTACTGACCAAGCTCCCTCATCGCCATCGCTACTCCAGCCTTGACACGCTGCCCCTCCCGACTTCCTGGCGCCTATGGAGCCCAATCCCGCCTCCCTTTAGACCAGCTCCTCACACATCATGTCTTAAAAAAGCCACACCGCTAATTTTCTCCGCTTCTACTATTACCGAACAAATGATTCCGAGTCACCGAAGCTGCAAATCGAGGGTATTTCAGTTAAGATTGCACAGTACCAGTGTGTGAGACGCTCTCCAGAACTGGGCATCCTTTTTTTTATTTTTCATTATTTTTCATTTTTGTTATCTCTTGGGATGGTCCCCACATTGCAGGACTAATTGAAAAACTGTTTCCTGGTTTTTCTTTTCAAGTTGGGAAAAAGTGGCCAACAATTCATGTGGGGCTTCAAAAAGGACTGGAAATACTGAATCCGCCGGTGGGGCAGGAATGATGAGCGTAACTCCATGAGTGGGTTTGCCATACCTAATGTTTGTGACTTTTCCCAGCGCCAGCTAGAAGTACTCGAAGAAGCAAAATCCTTTTTTATAACCCGTTCGGGGCGTAGGATCTTCGATCGATGGGTGCCTTTTAGATTCACTGAAGATTCCGTTCATGCGTAGGCTAATTTCGTTGCCGTCGAACCGTAAAATTCGAAGCAAGGGAAGGGAGGGAGGGAGTTAAGATGGGTCGTTAGCCATCTGACAGCGCCTGGTCTGGAAAGGAATTTGGCGATGGTTGCATTGTGTGGACATGCTGGGTGGTGCGTCGTAATCGGACATGCTCACTCTGTTTCTAACCCAAATTTTTTATTTTCACTCAACATTTCCGCTAAGCCGGAAAAATCGAGAATCGGAGATCGTCGAGCTGTATTTCTTGGTATGTGGGAAACCTCGCATCTTACGATGTATTCAGATTTACGGGAGTTCCTGATGTGCGAAGTTTTAACTTTTTGTAAGCTGCCCAATTCCCCACAGGCCGGCAAGCAACTGATTGACCATCTAGTGGAGGGGGGATCTGCTCAATTGTCGCCCTCAATTCGTTGAGGTGTGGGCATCCTCGGAGGAGTTCAAATCCTCGTGGTTTGTGTGTGTGTGTGGTTGAATAGTCGCTGCATAGAAGCAAAAAGGAACCAGGGAAACGGACCGGAATTCGAAGGAATTTGAGCCTTGTGACTTGAGAGGTCAGTCCTCTCACAGTCGCAACTCAGTTTCATGTGCAGGACTTCTCTTTGTTTTTTCTTTTCGTTGTGGCAACTCTTTGTCAACGAAACGTCGGGAACTGTTGAGAATCCTTCGAGGATTTTGCTAGGCTCAGACCTCCGTAGTGTTTGAAGATAGCGGTAGAAATTGGTGAATTAGCAGAACAGAATTAGGAAATAGTGCTGCGATTCCAGGTGCTTCATGCCGGGATGGTCGTCCTGGGACTCTTTCGAGAGGCTGCGCGCACAATGACTCATTCAAACACGCCATCGCGCAAGCATCGTTCTTAAGTTAGTTCACATGTCTATTTTTCATTTTTTTGTACAGGCCAAATTGAAGCGCATCTTGAGAAATTCGCAGAGTTGTGTATTAATCAGTAGGACCGCTGTTACAGCAGAAGGCTCGGGGTCGTTGTGAGGGGATGGGGACCATAACGATGGCGAATTCGGCAGCCGCTGCATTGCTGAGCCTGCAGATGATGGACACCAAAAGCAGGGGCAGGGGACTCAAACGCCGCGGCTTCCTCGCCGACGAAGACCAGGCAAGGGCGCGGTTGAGCAATCCGCCCGCTGCGGCGACGAAAGTCGAGGAGAAATTGTGCCACTGCGACGTGTTGCCGGAGGATGTCCTCGCGCAGTGCCTCTCCCACCTCGACTCCTTCCAAGACATGGCATCGTAAGTCCCGCTCCCCTTCTCATTCTCATCATCCCGCAAACGTCATGGTCGTCTCAGCGGTTGAATTCCTTAACGTCGAGCTAGGAATTCCACACTCGTGATCCTGAGTGCTCACCTGCAAAATCGAAACCCAGGTGCCTCCGTAGCTGCAGCGAAAAACAAATTGTGCTGTTCTCATCGTGTCCATGTGTACAAAATTTTGTCATGTTTTTCAGCATCCGTTAATACAGCGGATCGTGAGTGTCGCTTTCCGCAGGGTGAGCAGAGCTTGCAAGCGCTGGAGAGAAGGAATCCAACAATCCTTGGCGTGTCAAACCAAGCTCAGCTTTGCAGGGTGGCGTCCCGACGACGGCGCGATCTCACGCCTGGTGAAGGGAGCTGGCAGCCTCAAGGAGCTTAACATGTAAGGCCCGCTACACCCTCATCGTCGTCTCAACGCTCACCACCAAAGGTTTTATCCAATTCACCGTGAAGTGATTGGAAATCTTAACGAAGCGGTCGCAATCTGCGCTACAGTGGTCACGAAACACCATGTTTCACTCCGAATTTGTGTATATAACCTCTGTTTTTTTTGGTTTTTCTTTTTCCCAATCTTCTTCCTCAAGGAATTCGTTTGCACTGAGTTTGATTTTCTCGAGGACATTGGTAAGTGTTGCAGTTCGAATGGGCGGTGGGGTTGCCGAATCACGGACGTAGGGCTGATCCAAGTTTCAATAGCGAAGTGCTGCCCCAACCTGGCCTCGATCTCTCTGTGGGGAGTGACAGCCATCACCGACGAGGGCGTCGTTCAATTGGTACCGACACAATGCACACTCAATGCATCTCTCTCTCTCTCTCTCTCGCTCTCGCGTCCCAATTCGTTTCCTCTAATCTCAACTATGATTAGCAGCATGCGATTGAATGAAGCGTTACCATCTAATCCTTGCATCGATTCTTCACGTCACCACCAACTCCACACTGAGAATCATCACAGACTCGATATATGTTAAGGCACATGCTCATCCTGCAGGTGAGAAGGGCAGCGTCGCTGGAGCATTTCAACGTGGGCGGTACTTTCATCACCGACGTCTCTGTTTTGGCCTTAGCATCCCATTGCAAACTTCTCAAGGTTCGTCACAAATCACCCCTCTGCGATGAGTTGTTCACCATCTTCCAGCTTGCATTTCTAGGCATTTGATGTTGGTCTTTGTGATGGGAATTATGCGGTTAAGACTGATCGAATTGCTCATCACTCTTTACTGTTTGCAGAGCATCAATCTCTGGTGCTGCCGCCACGTTACGGAGACAGGATTGCTGGCGGTAGTCAAAGGATGCCAAAAGCTGGAATCCATTAACGTTTGGGGCATGAGCATCTCGCCCTCGTGTCGGCGTCGACTCAAACTCCTCAACCCCAAGCTCCACCTCAAGCCTGCCGCCGCCAACCACTCCAGTTAAGATTTCCTCTCTTTCGGGGACGCTGTAACCGACCACTCTGCAGTTGGAAACTTTGATCTCGGTTCGTGTGAGCTCAGGGACGAGGTGATTGTGTAATCTTGTGTAAATATTGAAGTAAGGAAGTCGTGGCATTGTTGGGTTAGTGTGATTCGAGCTGTGCAGTGGAGAACCAAAACCCAGTGTAATCAGGGCAAGGTATGTGATTATCAGGAGTGAGGAAGAACCGCAGTGAAAATAAGAATTCACGAAAAGAATTAAAAAAAAAAAAAAAAAAAAAAATGAAATGAAATGAAATAAATAAAAAAACTCTGTTTCATTCTTCAAAATCAGGGCTGTTTCTATGTCAAGTAAATGGGAGGTTTACTTTCTGGAGGCTTGGATTAGCGTGCAATCACAGCAATGGCGTATGTCTCTCGTTGGATACACACAACAACAACAACAACAACAAAGCTCTGCATTCAGCCTCACAATCGAACCCCGTTTCTCAACAACTCGCATTCACCGAACGCTCAATATTCACTTCAAGCATACAAACCCAAGTACAAACTCCGGCACAATACAGGATAACGAGATCATGCCAGACTGTGCACCACAAACTGCTAGCTACATTCTCACCACACCTCCTACGAAATACTGCAATCAATCCCCTAAACAATACACGTATGAATAACCCGTAACGGAGACGGCAGACAGTCGTTGATACACAGTCGGTAGACTTGATGAAGCACACCAAAGCAAACAACCAACGACCCACAAAACTACCATTAATGCAAACCAAAACAATGTATCTATATATATAGATATTGTGTTTTTTTACTGAGACAACAAAAGGTCTCTAGAGTTACGCAAAACCCACAGCTCCATTACAGGGAGTGAATAATCCATTCAACGCTGATAATCCGAGCCATGAGTGATCGATCACCGCGGCGGTGAGGATCACTGCAACCGTCTTCATCTAACGGACCAAATACACATACACACACACACACACTCACACTCACAGAGAGTAACTGACTCCCATGAGTAAAGATTAAATATATCCCTTTAAGGCTACAGCAGAGAGGGCGTGGTTGCAGTGAATAGAGTTAAATTCCATCAGTGATTAGAGTTAAACAAAGTGCAGGAAAATGATGTAGATATCTATCTGTTGAGGTTTAGCGGGTAAGTACAAATGGGAGTTAATAAATTCCGGGACTGGGAATGTGTGTGAGTGTGAGTGTGTGCGTTTGTATGGCCTCGTAGTACTTTTATTTTTTATTTTTTTCTTTTGTACACCGGCAACAGAATTCCACTACCGTCACCGTAATTGGGGCACCGTATGTGGAAATCATCACAAAGTGGGGGTTCACTAGATCGGCAAAATCAGAGCTTTGATCAGTTGCAAACGAGTGCTCTCTTTACTACCCAGTTTGCCCTTTCGAGTCTGTTTTTTATTTTTTGTTTTATTAGTTTTATTAGTGTTTATTATTATTTTTATTAATGGATCGTGTTTTGTTTTATTGTCCCCATTTAACTCCACTCCCTTGCCTGCTTTTTTGTGTTACTGTTTCTCTGTTTTGTGACACTATTTTCTTACTCTTACTGTGTGTTTTAAAAACAGAGATTTAAAATTTAATAACTAAAAATTGAACAGGCTAAATTTTTTTTTGTAATTAGATTAAAACTTTTAAATTTAGAATATTTGGAATTATCTATATATACACATTGATTTATTTATATCTTGGTGGATTCAACGAAATTACCATATGTTAAACTAGAATATTCTGATGTTATCTACAATAAGAAGAAACACATAAGGTTATGAATCATTTCGTTTATTTTTCCATAACAAATATACATTTTAAACCAACTTTAAAATTCCATAATACAGACAAGACCTTCTCTTTTATTAAAAATGATTATCCCTTACACTTTTACAAAGCTTTTATCTTTAAAAAAGTTTTGTATTTGTCTTTGTATATTTTAATTTTATTATAATTTGTTTTTATTATGTATTCTGCACAGATGTTTTTGTTAAAATAGGTATGAAGATACTTATCATAGATTAAAAAAGATATACGTTATCATTAAGACCCACCATTGAATTTATTACCAATAAAAAACACCATTGGGTAGAATTATCATTGAGATTATTAAAATGCTCTAACTGTTCTAACAGTTTAAAGAAGTAAAAACAGTAAAAAATTTAGAACGTACAATACTTACCAATAGCTGGTAAACTGTAATATTAATGAAAATATTATATATCATAGCATTAAATTTTTTCGTATTAGATTTTTATGTAATAATTTATAAGGAAAGGGAAATATTTTTTAAAGATAACATCTTTACAATACTCTTAAGCAATTGGTGTACCACTTTCTGAAAGATGTTGAATTTTAATATTATGATTTACTCTATAAATAAATAACTTATATATATATATATATCAAACAACTAAAACCATTCTATGATGATTTTTTCATAAAAAAAATTAAATAACTCTTATAAAAAAATCACATATTACAATGACTCTTTTATTTTTCATTTGAATCAATTCTCAACTGACTAATTTAATTGTATGCTTTTATTAATTTATACAACCTTAAAATTACTTTAAAATGTATTGAATTGAGTTTTTAAATTAATGAATTTCAAAATTTTATCAATGCACAAGCAATAATTTTATAAATTATATTATATTAATTTTAATTTCCTATTTGTTATGAAAAAAAATTAAAAAGAAAAAATATCAAAAATTTCCTGTTATAATTTTTTGAGATATAAAAGGCATTAAGACACATTGAAATCAACTTTTGCATTCAAACAACAATAATTATTTTTACTAGAGTACCACAAATTATAAATTGTATTATTACAAAGCAATAAAAAAACACTTATTTTTTTAATATGAAAAAAACATATGACCTTAACTATTTTTTATTAAATATTCATGCAAATCATTTAAATTAAGAGAATAAATTAGTTTTTAATTGGTTTTATTTTTAAATAATACGATAAAAATTACCATGATGTTATTTATACTTACATATATATATATATATATATATATATATATATATAATAGTAAGTGCCAATTATGTAAAAGTTTTAACATAACTTAGAATTATTATTCAACTTAAATAGTGATGTTTGGTTTTATATGCATATATAAATTCTTTATTTTTATTAAATAACTGATGTTAAATTTTTTATTTAATTTTTTACTAATAATTATTATAGATAATAATAAAAAATAATTAATTTCTTACCAAATTTATAAAAAAATTAATATTTTGAAATCTTTTGGGTATAATGAAAATAAAATCATATACAGTATTTAAACATCAATAAGTTTTAGAAATATTATAGAATCATATTCAAACAACCTTTAATATTTTTTAAGTTAGTTTTTTAAAACTACTTGCAATCTTTTAGGGAGAAAAGTTTTAAGTTCATAATAGGATGGCTTTAATGACAAGTAATATTTAACATGTAAACTATTCAACTATATATATATATATATATATATATATATATATATGATAATAATGAGAATGCCAATAATATTTCAAAATTATATAATAATACTTTCGTTGACATTTTAAATTATCAAAAACAAAAGCATGATATTGAAAATTAGTCACTGTTTAAAATCCAACTTTGTAAAAGTATACAAAGTAATAAGTATAAAAAAAGAAAAGATTCAGAATTCAAGGTATACTTCTTAAGTTATAATAACTTGTTTCTTTGGTTTTATATTTAAAATTAGAAAATAATAAGATAATTATATAATAATATATGCATATGTCAAGTTTTAAATATAACTCTAATTATAAGAGTTCAAAATATTTACATTATAAGAAAACAAATTCTTTTCAAGTAAAACAATTATTAGTTAGAATACAAATTGTTTTGTTATTTATTGTTTGCCCAGTATGTTTGTGTAGGTAGATTCAAATTTGGATTCAATACACACCAATCTAAGTCATACATTATGTTGTTAGACTCAAAAAATATCTTTAATAGTTTTATGTGACAAATATTTAATATATTAACAAATGCAACAGCTAATCTCATTCTTAAACACCAATTACGTAACATGAATAATGAGTTTTAAAGAATTTTTTCAACATTAATAGATAGCACCTATAGATTTAAAATAACAGTTACATTGATGATGCAAAGAAGAATCTTAAAACAAACGAAGGTCTTGTCTGCAATTACATCATTTTAATTTTTATTTATTATTAAAATTTGTTCGTTATGATGTGGTATAATGTCAGTAGTATGTGACCATGTGGCTTGTATTTCAACACTCCTATGATTATCCACAAACATATTTAAGTAGTGAATAACTTTTAATCAAATATGTGAACATGGAATGATTTTCAAACAATATTGCAATGTGGTTCAATCACTATTTTGAAATGCTTTTAGCGCTTTGTTGATCCACTGCAACTTGGACAATGTGGTATATATATATATATATATATATATATATATGATTGGTATATATATATGATTAATGCATATGAATGAATAAAAACCACCAATTATTTTTTGTGGAAACTAATTACCTTGTAGTTTTGCAGTATTAGAGCTCTTTCGATTATAGATAACAAAATAAGTTAGAATATTGTTTTATAATGATATCAATTCATTCATAGACAAATAAAAATAAAAAGTGGCTCATGAATATTAAATAGTGATAATAAAAATCTAAAGCACTATTTTATTGAAATTTTTAACCATTATTAATTTGAATGTTACATGACCTTAACTTACTCGAGAAGAATATTGTAATTACTGAAGTATTTCTTTACTATTTCTTATGAAGTATTTTGATTTTTTAAAAAAAAGAAAAAACAAAACAAAACAAAAAAAATGTTCTAGAACTAGAAAAAAAAACTTGTGAATGAATTGAAAATGAATCTCTGGAATATTCTATTATAAAGCTACATTTTTCCGATTTTAAGTTAATATCTCAAAATAAATGTCATTCATTATTTTATAAAAAATATCAATGTTGATAAATGAATCATTCTTTTCATAATTATTGTACAATATTAATCTAATCTATGAATGATATTAAAAATAATTTCTTTAAATATTGAAATATAATTTCTTTTACAAGAGTTTTTGAATTAATTATTGAAGGTGTTTTAAAATATTTGTAATACATTATCATGAATCAAATCTTAAATAAATTCTTAAAATTGTGGCATTTGAAGGAATGCTTGGTTTTGTTAATGTGTTTTGAATTTGCAAATTATGTTGCAAAAATTCACCTCAAGTTGAGTCCACCTTAATTTCAAATACTAAGCGTGCTTGCAAATGTGACATTTACACAAACACTTGAAAGGTCCACCCAAAAACACAATTACACCTCTAATCCAACTTGGTCCTCCTCAAAGAGCAAATTAAATCATTTAACCCACCACATGCATTAGATTAGAAGTGATTAAAACCCAAAAGGAATATATTTGGTACTTTAACTTGAGAATATGACTGCTAACATAAACCACTGTTTTAATTTAGGCATAATTCTAATCTGGGTAATTGAGATTCTTCTATAAGGGCACTTGGCTTTGAGACAGCATTTTGCTTTTTTTTCTTCGTTTTTGATAAAGGTTAGCTATGGTGTTGTCACTTTGAAACCTACAAGGGTTCTGAAGACTTTTCCTTAACAAAACTCAATCATATTTTGAACTAAGTTTGCTATAACTAGAAATTTGATATTAATGAGATATCATTAAATTATTTCATTAATATTTATGACCCATCTATAATTAGGTTCACTCATTAGTATGTCAATTATAAACTAACATAATTTTTCAAGCAGTAATATAACTTCGTTTGAATATGCATAGTATTGTTTCACCACCACATGAATCTCCACTTCATTTAGTTAATATAAACATAAAACAGCCATCAGAATTTGACATCAAGTAATTTTTTTAATATTTTTTTCAAGTCACCAAGGATCTTTTATCAATTATCTTTTGTCCTGATGAAGGGCAAACATTGTTAATATTTAAAAATAAAATAGAATACTATTAAAATAGAGTTAGAATCTAGGCCTAAGCGAATCTATATTCTATCAAGTTTACACCCTCCTCAATACTAAGAATGTTGTATTTTGCTGACTTGGAATATATATATATATATATATATGTATTCAGAATTTTAAAAAATTAAATTAAATAAGGACGCGCACGCACGGCTGTGTGAACTGCACCCTGGGGCATTCTCTTTGCAGCCCAACAAAGTTGCTAATAAATAGATTGCTAGATTTAGGTGCTAAAGAAGTGTAGTAACCATGTGACTTGACTATTAATAACGTTTATCAGATTTGAAGATTCATGGCTCATTTAGAAACAGAGAGGCTTGCCACATTGGGAGGCATCACTCATGGTGCTAAATTGGATGAATAATTTAAACAATAATAATAAGAATAATAATAATAATAATAAGAAGCCCCTTCCATTGTCTGAGGGATTCCTCCATTTGTTCCCAATCTCGGAAGCAAAAATGAATAAATAAATTTGAAGATAAATTATTCCAATTGCTTCTGCCAAATATAAATTGCATGATTGTCCTTTCAACACAAGCTCTAATTTTCAATAATCAAACCCTGACTTGGTCATGGTGGTGGAATTGCATGAGAGATTTGAACTGTGCTCTTTCACAAAGTGAGCGAGAGTTGAATCTCTCCCTTTGTAGTTGACGTCTTCGGGAACGTGATCCCAACAGCGTTACTATACCTTGTGAGCATGGGCTTGGTCAAAAAAGGGGGTTCACAATTGATGGGGGGCATGTCCTTGGGCTTGTCAACTGTCAAATCATTTTGCAATGAATTGGAATTGGAAGTGTTTTCAAAGCAAGGGGGTGGATATGCATGTTGGGAACATGGGGAACATGGGGAACATGGGGAACATGTATAAAAGTTGAATTTTGAAAGGTGGGTATTGAGAGAAGCATTGTGCTTTGCTTTGGAATAGTAGACTTCTAGCCCATGGCTCAGTTATTGCTTTGAAAAAAGGGGTTGAAATGAAAATAGGATGGTATCTTGTAGCATAATTCAACGAAGTAATCGTAAACATTGAAGGGTGTTGAACATGGAGGATGGATCCAAGAGACATTGTGGAAAGCTTGAATTGTAATGAAATAAAAAAATAATAAAAAAAAAATGATATTAAATGTTGGAGGATGTTCAACATGGGGGGATGGATTGATGAAACTTATACTGTAGAAAAACATGAGATCTAGTCTTCTTTTTGATGGTACTACATGGGTGCCTCTTAAATTGCACCACAAGTTGGGGTTGCAAATTCCTTTTGCAGCTACTCTCAACCTTCTATGCATGGATGCAATTTAAAAAATAAATAGTTTGGTATTCTTTATAACAAAAAATACATTTACTCTATCTCACATCCATGACTTAGTCTCTTTGCAGAAACTTCCAAACTAAAGAAATAGAGTGTGGAACAAAGACTTTTCCACCACTTTCTTATTGTTAGAAGGACAAAAAAAAAAACAAAAACAAAACAAAACAAACAAACAAAACTATTCAAATGGAAACAAACAAACAAGAAAAAGTAATTATAACAACACCAAAAAGTAAGTGAAATGAAGAAAAAACCTTCCAAGATCCATTTAAACAACACCACTTAGTGGCTTTGAGTCAGATGTCCTTCCTTCTATCCTTCTAGATATTTGACCACATTTGTAAAATACACACACAAGTTCATTTCAATCCATTCACCTTGCACAATGCCCCTCTTGTGTAACATTAGCCTCAAGTATATACATACATATATGTATATACCTATATCTATACATAAATAAATAAAAGCAAAGACATACACATGCACACATACAATTGTTTGCCTCTTTTATTTATTTATTAAATCCCCCCCCCTGTTTCTAAATTTAACCATAAAATAATGCTCTTGGAGTGATTTGGTAGGCAAGAACAACATCCCAAACACACAGACAAAAAATAGTAAAATAAACAGAGTGAAAAGATTTTGTCGTACTAGAGAATACTGAAAAAGTAAGTAAAAAATAGTAAAAAGAAAAAGTAGAAAACCAACTGGGCATCGAAGACACACATGGAGACACACACAGAGACATAACATAAAGGCGGGAATGCATTTATGCACTGAGTGCCACGATGGCACCACAAACTGGCCCAGCTGGCACCCCAAATAGGCCGAGCTGGCCGGGTCCCCCTCTCTCTCTCTCTCTCTCTCTCTCTCTCTCTCCCGCGCCTTCCGCTCCTCGCAACTCGTGATCCAGTTTTGTTTGATAGCTGCACCCCCCGTCACCGCGCACTCCCCCACTCCCCCCGCTCACTCTCTCTTTTGCCCACTTGCTTTGCTTTGCTTTGTTGTGCCCGCATTGTTGGTTTGCTGGTTTGCTAGCTGGGACTCCCCCCGCGTCGGATTCTGCTTCCCCCAACCTCACCGGAACTGACTGACTGACTGTCCCCATTCATTCTATTATGTCAGATCCACCGATCTATTGATCCATTGATCGATTCCCTCTGGTCTAGAAGAAGAACAACAGCTTGTCAGCTCTACAAGGTTGCATATCTCGGATGTATGGATCGGTTGTTGCAGCAGTAGTAGTAGCAGCAAATGGGCTGGCTGGACTTCGCCGGAGTTTCTTCTTCCCCCTTGCGGAGCTAGCTAGATGGCAGCAGCTCTTTGCAGGTGTGAATGAATGAATCACAGGAGGACCCGGTGATGCTGCTGCTGGGTGGGTAGATTCTGAATGCGTGGGTTTGAAAGTAGGCGTTTCGCTAGTCGGCAGCTAGTAGTTGTGTGTTTACGGTGTACATTCTGTCAGCGGGGTCCTATGTTCACGTCCTCCCCTGGGAGGAGGAGGTGGTCAATGAGTTGGCGACCGGTGTTGCTTGAAGACAGTCGGAGGCGAAGTGCCCCCCACCCCCTTCCATCTGTATTCGTGATTGAATCTGGAGAAGGTTTTTGAGGTGGGTTTAGAAGTAGATTGTGAGGTCGGTCTGGTGAGATTGGTTACATCCGACTTGAATGCGTAGCTTGGAGTGTGGTACAGATCGAAGAGTGGTGATGAGACAAGGGACTTCATCTGGGACGATCCTCGACCAGTTTGTGATCAGTCCGTTCTAGTTTCATTTCCTTCGTTTCCTTCTTCTCCTTCGTCTTCTTCTTCTTCTTCTTCATCCTGGGTTTCTGTTGTGATTTTCATACCAGTTCCTGTGGAGTTGGAGGGACAATCAATGTGAAACAAACTACGACACGGGCTCCCTTCAATGTGTCTCTCCATGCTTGGTTTAATTGTTGTCGCTCCGCTGGGCGGAGACGAGGTTTTTAGTAGGATGATACCCCCGGTGATGCCGAATTCTGTTGCGAGCTCAAGGCAAACTCTGCCAAGTTCGTGTAGGTTTTTGAGTCTTTCGTTTCCCTCCAGCACAAACGTGTCCCCGAATTGCACTTGACCCGGGGTTGTGTCCCGTTCTGCTGTCGCTTCGCTTGATGGAATGCGGAGTGAGAAAGATCCTCACTTCCAACGTTGGATACAACCATTCGAACTCCTTTGTTGTTGCCGCGTTGTGACTTGAATCACGGGGGGTTTTTTTGCTTTTCTTTTCTTTTTCTCTTTTTTACTGAACTAGGTTTGTGCGTCATGGGTTTCCGTTCCGTTATTGTCGTTTAGAGAAGTTTTTCCACAGCCGCATGGCTCGGGTTTACGTTTGCGTAGGTGTGAGGGTTTGAAATGGCAGCTGGGACCATCTCATGAACGTGGGGTTGCGAATTTCGAGCGGTTTTTCACGACAAGAGCGCGAAGTCTAAGCTTAGATATCATGAAGAAGTATGCGAGGCTACGGCAGGATTGCTCGGAGTTTGACAACGTTTTATACAATGCGAGTCCTGAGAAATACTCTTTCGACGATGGTGTTGCGCATTCTCAATCGACGTTATCACAGGGATCCGCTTCGCCTGTGCGAGACTCTCCACCGGGAGGACTTGCGGTGCGGCCCGCACAGCCTGCGAGATTGACCACCGTTGACCCACCATTCCACAGCGACCTGAACGAAGCTTTGAAGAAACTTGCCTCGTCTCGAGAAAACGGGTCGCAGAGACTCGGCGAGCAATGGCAAGTCAGCACTGCCAATGGCGGAAACCGCTCGCGATCACAGAGTGGGAGGTGGCCCGGCGACTTGCAAGACGGCGGCTGGGATTCCCAAGTCCTCGCAGGTGACACGATTTTCTTCTCATTCACTCCTTCAGCACACCAAATTTGAACGACCTGTCGGGTTAAGCCCTTAAACTTCCTGATTATTCACGGTAAATTAATCCTTGCAGCATGAAGCAGAGTAAGGGTTAGATATTAATCATGTCACATCTTCTCCTGGATCGAACATTTAGTAAAGAAGTCGACTCAGGATTCTTACTCGTGATTAGAGCAAGAATTTTCGAGCTTTGACAGAGTTGAACACATCAACTTTCCTTTCTAAAGTAGCCCACGCGTTGCTCATTATCTGACAGACGTTAACAAAAGCCAGTCGTATTCTAGTTTTGCTAAAGTATTCCTTTGTTAAAACACCGTGTATATAGAACAGATTCCCACCCCACAATCCCTGAATGTGGTCCAGCATCTTACCCACCGGATGGATTGTGTAAGTGAGAGAGCAAGTTAGTGTTTACAACTTCGAGAGCTAAGTCTGCAATGTTTATTTTTGTGTTTATTTATTTTATTTTTTTGCGTGATTGAGCGATTTTCATGAACGGTGCGAAATTGCTCACGGTTTGAGATTTCGATTCTGCAGGAAGTGGGCGGTGGGGAACAGCAGAGACGGCATCCTTGAGTGGGCGCTGGGGCTCGGTGAGCACTAACGATCACTGGGACGGAACCCAACAAGGGATTAACTCCTTCCGCGACTCACTCTCCCTGTCTCGATCCGGAAGATTGGTGCAAGAGGGAGAACCGTGGACAGCTGCGACCACGCAGCAGCAGCCTGCGAACTCACAGCCCATCCAGAAAAAACCTTCGCTGCAAAGTGCTCCAAGTCAAGGTAGGACAAACGAAGTCACGGAGCATGAAGCGACAAGGGCTTGTGAAACAGCCTACCCTTACCCTGGAAATGGGTATGATCAACAACACCATACCCCTCCTCCAGTGCAGCGAAACATCTCCATGCGCGAGACGCAGGGGTGGCTGGCATCCGTGAAACGCCCTTTGCAAACACGAAAACAGAACGCGTGGGAGGATCCCAACGAGTTCAATTGGAGAGCTGCAGCGGCGACGACGAATTCCTCCTCAGGGAGACGACGACAAACGGCGACCGTGTCTCAGTCGATGCGATACGATCGGCTGAAGCCATCCGACCTCTTTGCCAACTCAGGTGCTGGCTCCAGATTCGACGACGAGGGATACCACCACAACAAATCCATCATGCAGAAAGCGGCGTCCATGCGAGAAGGGGGAGCCCACTCGGACGCCATCATGGCCATGGCCAGGGCGTACAGTGAGAAACATGGAGTGCAACAAGCAATTCTCGAGTGCGTGTCTTGTCGGCGCAGCCTCGGAGTGGTTGTGCAAGGCAATCCGGGTAACGACACCTCCTACTGCCAATCGTGCCGCCCGCACGCCATCGGCGGGTGGACCTACAACATGGCTAGCAAACCGGACAGCAGCAAGTCGAAGCGCAAAGGGATGATGAATTTTTGCCGCAAGATTCTGCGCATGGGGAAGAAACCCAACAAACTGAAGGGATAAAAAACACGTCGATGAGCTTATCCTTTAGAGCGTAGCACAGATCGTGTGAGCCAAAGCTGAGGGATATCGATATCATAGCTTCACAGCGACAGCTCTTCGCATAGTCATGTAGGTGGTACAATTACGTAGCTGATCGCATCTTTGTTATTCATCAATCTTTGAACTCATCTGCATCTCTTCGATGTGAGAACTTGCCTGAGGTTTCCCAATTTTTGCTAATGGAAATTACGTGACATTCGTCGACAGAGTTTTTGTTGGTAACGGTGGGTTTTCGGTCTGTTTACGTGCACTTCCCGCAGCCTTGGTAGGGTTGGAATGGTTGCTCACTTATATCCTGCAATTCAGTTTTACTTCGACTTTCTGGAACTGATTGCGTGATTTAAGTGGATCCTTTTCATCAGTTTGCATGGCGTCCAGAATTGTGCGCCAGTTTCAGGATCCGGATGAATGAATGTCGAGTTTTGTGTGGGCCTTTGATCCTTCGTCCATCGTGGCCAACCCAGTGGCTTCCGATACTCGTGTGCTACTTTTTCACACTATTGATGACAGCAAATCCACCACGAGTACCGCTAATTCACAACACGCTTATCTCAGCAGAATGTTGCCATGTTTGTGACCCTGGAACGGCCCGCCGAAACTGCGGTTCGTGAGTCTCGAGCGGGGAACCGCAGTGAGGTGGCTTGACAATTTGATGGCTACAAAATCATCCTGAGTGGAAATCGAAGGCTCAAAGGCACCGTGAGTTGGGGACGGTAGTTTGTGGATTCTCCGAGAAGGTGTTGTGACTTGCGTGCGATTTTGAGTTGCGTTGGGTCGATGGCGAGTTTGCAAGCGCCTGCTGTGTTGTCTGGAGTGGTGGCGTCGCCGCGGGTAACTCTGGGAAGCCGGAAGGGGAGCCTCTTCGTAGGTCAAGCAGGCGAAAATGGTGCGTGGCGCTCACGATTTTATTATGTAATTTAATTGCTTTCGTAGTAGGAAAAAATAAAATAAAAATAAAAAAATAAATAAGTCTCTGTTTGCAGAGCATATTCAGGTTTTGTGTGTTTGAAGGAGCAGGTCTTGCTTGAGAATTAAATCGCAGTATAGGTCGTTTGGATGTAGTTCAAGCTTCGCGTTGCTTAGGTATTCATAGTGGGTCATTCAAATATACTCAATTTTGGTCCAGAATTATCTGCGATTTATCAATTTGTACATTTCTGCGCAGTGTCTAACAGACAATTAGCCAAAGTGAAGGCGAAACTCTGAAAAGTCTGAGGGATTGTGCCCCTTTTGCGTAATGTATTCATGGAGTAGTCTACTGGGTTTTGAAAATTTGAGGTTGTAGGATTTGGCATCGCACGAGGTGGAGTTTTTTGCTAGTAAAATCAGCGAGATTGCTACATTACAGTGGCATCCGCATTTCTGATTGTACAATCATTCGATCCGTCTCCATCTACTGGCAGCAGTATTAAGATTATGTGATTATTTCTCTAATGTAATCATGTATTCATGGAGGGTCGTTTCCTAGCACATCGCAGTGAAATTTCCTCTAGCGTGTGGGCGTTTCTTGAGGAATCCAGGGTAAGGCCCTAAATGACTGACAAACCCTAACCAAACTCAGAGCAGAGAGCTGCATCTGTTTGATATTTCGATACTAGCAGAACCTTATTGTGATAGCAAAAACATTTGGTAAATTCACAAGAGAACACGCCATGTATTAATACTTTTTTCGCACCGTTCGTTGTGGTGGCAGGGGGTTACACTACTTCAAAGAAAGGGCCTCTGATAGCAGAGATCCCTTTGGAATACATCAGGCGGCCGTTGCTTCGAACACGTAACAATGATCCTGAGAAAGTGAAACAACTAATGGAGAGTATTGCAGAGATTGGGCTTCAGGAGCCGGTGAGTCACCCTTGAAACGAACTCCACAAGCGTATCAGGCTGAAGGAAGTGGAAACTCTCCACAACTACCTCTAGTTTGAAAGGATTCTTTTGAAGAATTAACCAGCAAGATTTCTAATCCTTTGCTGTTGTGGTGTGGTTTTGCGTTCCAGATTGATGTGTTGGAGGTGGAGGGCGAATATTATGGTACATGCTTTTACTGTTAGCAGTTAATTTATGCTGATTTACAAGCTCTCTAACGCTCAAAAGGGGGTCCATTAAAATTGGAGCTTGTTTGCTCTTGAAACTACAGAGGACATGGGCCAAGTTTTCATGTCATCCTTCGCATACATCGTTGTGGACACTGCGGTCTCCAACCCACTACAGCTTTGGATCTGTTTGATGAGTAACTCTTGTATTCACGAGAAGTGGAAACCTGTGTGGCAGGCTTTTCGGGTTGTCATAGGTATGAGGCGCATCAGAAGCTCGGTTTGCCAACGATCAAGTGCAAGATCCGCAGAGCAACTCGTGAAACTTTGAGGTGCAACACTTTCTTCAGATGCTAAGTTTCCACTGTGAAGTGGTTGCTTTTCAGAGCTCGATCTTTATTTTTATTTTTGTTGGTTTATCATTCTGGGTACCTCATCTTTTGCAATTTAGCTTCCATTTAGAGCTTTATAAACTGTAACTTGCAGTGGTTAGTGGCATGCTGATCCATTCTCGTTCATTGCAGGCACCACCTTCGTTGATTTTTCACCATTTCGGTGCTCCGACAACTCCTGGCACTGGTGCTCTCTTGTATCAACAACGTATTCATAAAAACCAGACGATTTCAAGTCTAGAAAAAGACCACTTGTTGTTAAGGAATGTCAGATGTGCTTAAATATGGATATTAAGTGTACAAAAACCTCAAATTGTATTGACTTTTTAATAAAAAGAGACCTAGTTTTAAACTGATCTATACCATGGTTTTTGTAGTTTTTGTTTATGGTCGTCACCAAAAATTAATGAATGAGGGATAGAGCGTGATTGTTTAACTCGAAATATGCATATAATCAAATGATTCACGTATGATAATGCTTCATATTACTCAAAAAATGTAATAAATTTTCCAGTTAAATAAATCATGTGTGATATCAAAAATATATTAATTTGCACATTATCATGAATACTTTTAATTTTTGCCCAAAAAAATCCTGCTTTTGATTCCTGAAATTGTGTGCTTATTATTTGCAATGTTGTGAACATTACTTTGAAACGATACCAATTTGATGAGTAAGAATTATAAAGCGTATAGTTATTTCTTGGAATTTCTACAAATTCATCAGTATTATTATTATTATTATTATTATTACTATCATTATCATTATCGAAAAAATTTGGCTATGCAAAATTTTACAAAGCATAGATTTTCCTAATGAGACTTTATTCAAATTCAAAGTCACTTTGTGTCCAAAAATTGTGCAACTTTGAATTTGATTTATTTGGATCAATATTAAGATTTATCATAGCCTTTGCATTCCATACAATTGATAAACATATTTAACAAGGAATACTGAATGTAGGATAATTAATTGGTTTGGTTGTATATTCTATCTTCTAAAAAGCGCATTTGTATTGCTGTAAGTGTGGGTCACTGATGTAAATTATTGTGTGATATATATACAATTTTTATTTATTTAAATGGAAATCAAGCACAAGAGAAAAAAAAAAAAAAAAAAAAAAACTAATGTTTCCTTTGTAATTTTTACTAAGGTTTAAGGATTTTGTAGAGTATATAAAAATGAAATAGTTCTTATTTAATGTTACTAAAAATTTCTTGTGTGAGGCAAAGTATACACATTTTATACATGGTGAGTTATATTAAACGAATATTTTGAACCGTTAAATAAATATATATGTGCCAAAAAAAATGATATTTAAAAAAACTATAAATACTACATGATTTTTATAAAAAAAGAAAAAAAGAAAAAAGTAATTGTTAAAAAGATCATTCATAAGTTTGTTTACTCAAATATATTTTTCCTTTTTACCGATTCAAAGTTTTTGAAAAAAAATTAGAATCAAAATAAAACTAAATTCAGTATGTATATTTTGATGACAATAATTTTTTAAAAAAAAGATCCAATTATATCCTCGCAATTACAACATAATAGATAAGCGACAACCTTCAAAAACACAATGTCTCAATTCAACAAACATAATCCCAGTTCAAAACACTCCCACAAAACTCTCACCACATTCTGCAATTTGTTTGATAAAAAGCCAAGTTGTGCAAAAACAGTGTCACAAGAGCAAACATCAAACTCCACTCACATCTCACAATCTGCCACTCCGAGCAAACGCTGTATATTTTCACAGCATCAGAGACGCACTCGCACCGCAAATCCGTGAACAGTATATGTTTTCACCCCAATTCTTCCACAATACACAAAACCCACACCAAGATTGCAGCTCGACGGAAGCAGATTCACGCCGTTTGTGCACCGACATATATTATGAAACATGTCAACTTCGGAGGAAGGGATCAAACACAACTAGTTGAAAACCAACAACAAAGCTAGATGTTTTAGCAGTTGTTTATGGTTTTAGTAATGTTTTCGTAATGAAAAGATATGTGCACAGGTTCAGAAGAGACCCCATCTCGGTGAAGCGCAAGCTGATCGATGTGTTGCGCAGGAAGAGCGATGCTCTGATGTCACAGATCGACAGCCAACAGTGATTCCCATCGATGTGAGATAAGCGTTGAAGCAGCGTCACTGGATTATGTGCATAGTGCGGCGCTTCTCAGGAACTGGCTTCGGTGCATCCTGACCGCATTTCCGGCTGCCATGTGGACTAGTGCCACCCATTTAAAGGAGAATTTTATGGAGAGTTCGAAATCCCCATTGTACAGGCTCTCGCTCATTCGGCATCCGGATAAGCCTTTATGAGGAATTTCGCGCTTGGCCACTCAAAAACCAGTGTTCCTAATTTGTCGCAAGTGTTCGAGAAAAGCCACAAGAAACACTTGGGCGGAGAGGAAATGCACGCTGAATAAGGGGTGAGGGAGCTGCGGGTTAGACAAGGTGAGGCGAATCGGGGTTGGAGTTTTAGTTCGGTGAAGCATTGCCGTTAGGAACTGCAGCTATGGCGGCGACTCAAGCAGTTCACCAGGTCTTGTGCTCCTCAGCTGCAGTTGCAACCACCAGCTCCGAGGTTCAGTCCTGCAAGGGTGGATTGACCGCCAATTCACTCTCTCTGCTACCTGGATCGTCGTTCCACGGATCTTGTGCAGGTCTCCGGGCACAGAATTCCAGAGCTGTGACCGATCCTCGACAGGCAGCTGGTGCCAGAGCTGCAATTTCCGTGGAGCCCACCTCTCTTCCGACGGCGAAGAAGGGGCAGTACGAGATTACCACTTTCACCACCTGGTTGTTGAAGCAGGAGCAAGCGGGTGTCATCGACGGAGAATTGACCATCGTGTTGTCGAGCATCTCCCTGGCGTGCAAGCAGATCGCGTCGTTGGTGCAGAGGGCTGGAATTTCCAACTTGACGGGGCTGCAAGGAGTGGCGAACATTCAAGGCGAGGATCAGAAGAAGCTGGACGTGATTTCGAATGAGGTACAGAAGCAGACTTCCTCTTGACTACCCCCCTTATCACAAACTCAGTCAATCTAATGTTCCTTGTGACGATTGTGTAAGAGCTCGGAACACTGCCGGAGATTCATTAAATGAGACGCAGGTGATGTTGAATTAGAGCAGGTCTTTTCAAGCTGCCTTCGTTCGAGTGGACGCACGGGCATCATTGCCTCCGAGGAAGAGGACACCCCTGTTGCAGTAGAGGAGAGCTACTCCGGCAACTACATTGTCGTCTTCGACCCTCTAGATGGCTCCTCCAACATCGACGCCGCTGTGTCCACTGGCTCCATCTTTGGCATCTACAAGCCCAATGAGGAGTGCTTAACCGACCTCGGAGAAAATCCCACGGTAAAAAGACTCATCTCACTTCCCCTACCCGGTCCACAAACAGAATTAACCATTGCACTGGAATCATCACCTCATTCTATCACTGAATCTAAACTGGACACTCTTGGTCCTTGTCGCAGATCGATGAGGTAGCCCAGAACTGCGTTGTGAACGTCTGCCAGCCCGGAAGCAACTTGTTATCCGCTGGGTATTGCATGTACTCCAGCTCCGTGATCCTGGTCCTCTCAGTCGGCCATGGAGTCTACGGCTTCACCCTAGACCCACTCTACGGGGAGTTCGTGCTCTCCCACGAAGAGATCAAAATTCCCAAGTCGGGCAAGATCTACTCGTTCAACGAGGGCAACTACGCTCTTTGGGACGACAAGCTGAAGAAGTACGTCGACAGCTTGAAGGACCCCGGTCCCAGCGGCAAGCCCTACTCCGCTCGTTACATCGGCAGTCTGGTGGGCGACTTCCACAGGACAATGCTGTATGGTGGCATCTATGGCTACCCCAGGGATTCCAAGAGCAAGAACGGGAAGTTGAGGTTGCTTTACGAGTGTGCTCCCATGAGCTACCTCGCTGAACAAGCAGGTGGGAAGGGCTCCGACGGTCACCAGAGGATTCTGGACATCCAACCTGAGCAGGTAAGAATCAAAACCACGGTAGAATCACACACTTCTCTGCGATAAGTTTGGAACCCACTCGCCACATTGTTTCCTTTATGACCTTTGTTTGTGTAATCTACTGTATCGCAGGTTCACCAACGTGTGCCATTGTACGTTGGAAGCACGGAGGAGGTGGAGAAGTTGGAGAAGTTCTTAGCTTAATCTGTTGAAATTGTTGCGGATTCCGAGGGCAGAGTAGAGGAGACTGACAGCGTCTTTCGCTTAGCCTCTAAAACGATTCGGGTTTCTAGCTTTAGATCATATCTAAGGTCGCTCTGCAGCTCCTGTGCCATTTGGGTGCACACGTGTTCATTTTGATATTTCTTGTAAACTAGTGCTCCGCTATGTTCTGTGCTTGTGGCGAGAATGGTCCACAAGACATGTGATCCAGGTTTGTAACAGATGTTCTCTAATCTCACTGGTTACGTTTCGTTGAGCTGCCCGAAATGGATGCATTACGAAAATGTAAGCAGATGTTCGTAGGATTTCCTTCACCCTGTTGTAGAAATACTCTATCATCGCGAAAATTACTTTGACCAGTCCTAAAGCCATGAGAAGAGTCTTGTCATTTAACATAGGAAGGTCTCGCGCATCCGCGAAGTTCCAGATGTTTCACACAACTCTGCTGTTGCTTTCTCTGAATTTTCACTGACTTAAGAAGATCTGGATCTAGTGCAGAAGTTTAATTCCAACCACATGACTGGGGAGAATTAGATTATTTAACAGCATATCACCGTTGTCCACAAAGCCAAACTAGAACTGTATTATCCAACTTCGGTAGGAATACTGGATGCTTCGAGCAGGTAAATCTGTGACACCCAAACTCAAAGTTCACATCGTGTTAGGATTCGAAATTAGAGACGCCGTTTATACTGTTATCATATGTACAACGATGGTAAGCGATGAAACAAAATGGCAATATCGTTAGACTGCCATGACCCACAAGTGATGCAGTTGTAACACGATTACACAAATTCCACCAGGACTTTGGCTGGATGGATTGTAAGAATGTCAGATGAGTCCAACTCGGGATGCAAACTGTGCAGAGATGTGAATCAATTGCTGGTTGTGGTGATCAACGACAATCCATTCTATCAGCTCTCCGTCTTTGGTGCCACACTGAAACCCCAAAGCCATCTTGCCTAACGCTCAGGAAAATCTTTAAGATAGGTAAGTGGAATTCTTGGATGGGAATATGGTATGTCCAGATTGATCCAACGTGATCCTTGACAAATTTCACAGGTGGTTGAAGTAAGAAATCCAACATATGCGCTTTCAGGATCATTTCTTAAAGATTTCTGGAAGAGTTCTATCCTCAATTACCAAAGCTTCTTCAATTCTGCTACAGGGTGAGTGAGTAGACTGTGGTCGTCTAAGTTTTGTACAAATTCTGATGAATTGCATTATGCCTCATAAATTGTTAGATAAATCTCAAGAAAACCTCTTTCCCCTGCAAACAGCCGAGCTTGGTAGAGGAATTTAACCACCTTTCATCTCTTTATCATCATCTCTGTTCGATGATCCGCGATTGTTCCTCACTTTTGATCAAGATGATCATTCACAATTTAAATTTGAGAGGTTACACGTAATTTCTTTTTGTATATAACTCCATCAAAACACTAAAAACGGCAATCATCACTCAAATATTTCCTTGTCCCCTGGGTGCCACACACATTCTCTTGGAAAAAACTTCTCAGTACAACCTCATAAAAATGAATACCATTGTGTTCCTAAACAGACCTTCGATGTATTACTGCCACAATGAAGAAATCACAATCAATCTAATTGGTTCAGAATCGGGAAAAATAAATAAATAATTGAAGGAAGAGTGGAAAATATACACACTGAGACAACTTCATTTCGAAATCGGAACATTATGTGAACAACTTCCACAGAAACGATACTGCCTGACAGTAGCACACAAATCTCGAAGTGACTTTATCTCAAGCAAAGTTAAACAGCGCAAGCATAACACCATTGGAAACTCGTGTGTACATTCCAGTTTTCTTCTTGTGTATTTTTTGAAACCCTTCGCAGCTCCTTCCAGAGGTTGTTCCTTATGAAATTCCTCTGCGGTCCAGAATTCTGCATTCTAGCCAAGGAATCAGAAAAGTTAAGCATCCACTTTTCAAAGCTCAAGGACTCATGAATTAATGAGGTCAAATAACAGAGTAGTAACGCAGTTTGCATGGTGACTCTAGGTGCCCCGAACAATGGCTGAAAGCATGATCTCTTACATTCGTAGCCTAAATAATTTGTCTTCGTTGTTCACAGCTCCACAATCCCAGCTCACTGCAGCTGCCTCCGTCTTTTTAATAGTTCACAGATGCTGCAGCTCTATTGCATTTCTCACCATTCGACTTCTTTAAACTAGGGCTTTCCCTGAAACACCTAATTTAGCTTATTTTATATTAGGGTCACAGCTAGGCTTTATTTTAGGTAAATTATGAATACCTAATTTAGCTTATTTTAGGGTCGCACTAGGTTTTGTTTTAGGTAAATTATGAATGGATGAAATTCATCTATAGAGTTGTCCAAAACATCCATTCTTGTCAAATTGTTTAAGGTGCAAGATACTTTCAAATGAGAAGTCTATGAGGCACTATTGATACTCTCTCACCTGTTTATAGAGAAATCAGATTCAACAATGCTTGTCCTAGGAAAAATAGAGGCCAATCCACCACAAAGAAATTGAAGTTGTGGAAACTAGCCATTGCAATGAAGCCATTCAACATGAAATTTTGTTCACAAATCAAGTCACTTGCAAATATCATCCTTGAAGGTCATTTCCTTGCAATAGGTACGCACCATGGCTTGGTGGTCATTCTCAATATTCTTGGTGATTTTCTATAAACTCACAACACAAACTACCCTCACAAATGAAGTTGCATAGTCATCACTATACCCATTGAAGTAACCCATGTGCAATACAATTTTTGTGACATGCATGAGATGTACTGCTATTTGGAACAAGGCTCCAAAAGAGACATAGCTATAATCACAAGATGGAATAGCCGCAAAGAATTGATCTCCATCTTGTATTCTTTGCAATTTAGATCTTGTTCTCCATCTAGCTCAACTTAGTCGTTGTTTGCATCTTCAAACAACTTGAAAATTGGCAATGTCCATTCATGAGTTGGTGTTGATTCTTCATCATCTACATAGAACAACATGTCACCTATAATCACATCCACAATGTCCTAATTGATTGTGAACGTAAGTATCTTCTTGATCTCAAAATGAGGTGCAAGGGTGTTTTTGAAATTCAGTTGGTCAAAGGACCGCTTCTTCAAAGCATTTGAGAGGGTATTGTACTTCGCCCACACTTTGGCATGCTCCAACTTCATATGCACTATGATGTTGTCTGTGTTGAAAGGAATTGAAAATATTTTCACATTCATGGTTTGCTTCTCCTTACGCCCTGTGAGATTGATCTCTTTGCAGATGAGCTTCTCACAAAACAAGCACTATATTGGTAGAACTTGGTTTGTGTTCTCATTTTGTGGGTTTAATGCAAGGCCAAACTTCATCCTTACAGAGGATTTCCAAAGGGTCTGCAACTCCTTCACCATGGTGAATTCAATGTGATTGTTGTGATTGCCAATTGGTATTCCTTCACATGGATCAAGTCATGCAGCGCCTCCCCCAATCATACGGAAGAATACTGTTGGAGCCTTATTTTATTTTAAGGCATCTTGCTAAACTTATCCAAAAGATATTACGGGTTTTTTTTGGAAAAAAGCCCTAATTTAAAGAGGCCTGGTTATAGCATAAGGAAATACGCCACAGCCTTTGCTCAAGGCTATAGAAGGAAGTCCGAGAAGTTCGGAAGAATTAGGTCATTGTGTTCAAGGTTCAAGAATCTAACTTCCTGCGAGTAATGTTACTTCGTCACGGACCTGAAGAACCAGAACATTGAAATGTGTGGCTCTTACACTGATTTGGAAAGCAAGATCACGGATGCAGTCTCCTACCAAATTGGATCTATTACCACGTAGAAAGCATCGACTGCGCTACGGAGTCCACTTGCACATTTGTCGACAGTGCGAAAGGCTGCCAGCACACAAAACCCGGAGGGTGGCCCGAAAAGCCTCCCTCTCAAGCGGCACCAGCAAGTGCAGCCAAGCTTTGAAACAAGTGCTCAACCAAACCCTTACTCATACAACTCCTACTATTCATTCTTCAACAACCAGATCACTCTCTTCTAGGATGTGTGGCACATTGCTACCTCCGTAACCAACAGTAACTGCACACAGTGTTCTCTGCAGCCTAGGGCTGTCACACCCCAACCTTGCTATGTCTTATTTGCAAATCCATGGAGAGACAATGAAGTTTTTATAGCTGGGGTGTGAAGATTCGCAGTCGCAGTCAGACGTCTACCTGTCTACACATTGACGACCAATGACAGCATTTATTGGATGATCTGACGAACTGCAATTCGAAACTCGCGCGTGCAGTTGCAACATAGACAGATACTTTGTCGACACTGGAAGCAGCAGCGACTGGAGTCACCTCTTCTGAAGTATGCTGTACATGGAAGTGAAGGGCTAGCAATCATGTACATGGGAATTGTGAAGTCTGATACCGGTACTGACGTTTGACGGGCACAGGAAATGTTACAAGTGGAACCCTGGATACGAAAAGGACGAAGATAAATAACTGGATAGTTGTACAAAAATTTCTACTACGCGCTAACAGCGGCTGACGCATTACAAACATCACATCGTTCACTGCACATGCCGGTGAAGCAACTGTCATCCGATTCCAATATCATGTCAAAACCTACATACCCACAAACTCAAGCTCCCTGTGATTCACTGCCATGGCTTTCCGTCCTTGCGTTCACTCACCATTCGCCCCTCATTCTACAACATCGCCCTCATTCTCACACTCCCATTCTCACCCCTGCTCACTGCAACACATCCATGTGCCCTTGTCACATCTTCTTCTCACGTATCAATCCTGAACCCACTGCAGCCATATACTTGCAGCTTTCCCCTCGTTCCTGAAACAATCTCCTCACAGCTCTTCAGCCACCTTAACACGTTCGCTCCAAACGCCAATTCTGAGCACTACTGTTCAGCGTCACTTCCAAGGCAGCACAGTCTGTCGTCGAGTCACCTCCAGCAACAGTTTCACATACAGCATGGCACTGTGAAGCCCATGGCGGCTGATTCAACGGACAAAAGCACAGTGGCAAGCTTTCTGGGATTAGGAGAATAGGTGGAGCACTGCACGGTGCTGGTGGGCAGCAGTGCGCTGGGAGTTGGTCTCCCAGTGGTTGCAAAATTCTCACTGGAGCTGTCAAAGCTGCAAACTTCCTCGGAGATGATGGGTGATGAGTGCAGAGGTTGGCTCAACGGCACCAACCAACTACAATATAGTTCTTGCTTTAACTGTGTGAGCAGCACAGATGTCGGTAGACAAAACTAGGAACGTTGTGATGAAGCCCCACTTCGTTTCAATTTCCAGGGCAGCTGCAGCAGTTTTGACAGCATTCGGGGGGTAGCGCTAGTTGAGTTCTCGGAGCCATTTCACTGTAAATAAAGCTGCAACACGTTAAGTTGGGTCCTGAAAATACTGCGATGGTTGAACATCGAAGTCTCGCTGTCACCGCTTGGTACGTTGTTGACGGCGTTGTCTCCATGACCTCAGCTTTATGCATGCTTTCGTTGAATATCTCACCCTTGGCCTGGCTTGTGTGGTGCGGACCTCCCTAGGGAAAAAATTGCACATCACACTGAGGAGCGGAAAGTTTTACTATCTTGATCTTAAGTATTAACTATCTTTACTAGTTGCTAGAAAGAGAGTTTGTGACCTTTCAGATGAGACCATTAAGTTTTAACATCAGGTTTCAGTTGATACTTGGAACAGTTGTGAATTTTGAGACATGTACAGCATAGTTTAAGGCCAACTTTGTTTTGTTTTTTTGTTTTATTTTCTCTCTGTTGTAACTTGTTATGAATGAACATAATTACATTTATATTAAAATTATTATTTCAGTATAGATTTTTCTGAAAATTCACTAAACATGTACATGCTAAGACCCACTTTGGTTGCAAAATGAAAAACAAAATGGAAAAGGTGAGGAGATTCATTTAAGAACCAGGGATACATAAGAAGAAGAATGACAGCAACAAATCAAAGGTCCACAAATGAGGAAGCTGGAGCCCCAACCAAGCCCATCCACTAATTTTTTTTGAAAAACCTTATGCCTTACTTACTCCTTCACCATCCTCCACCCAATTCCACGAGCCAGATTTGCACTTGGGAATTAGTGGCCCAAAGAGGTTGTTGCCAAAGAAGCCCTCCTCATAGCCCCACCCATAGTGGTTTGAACCAAAGGTTGCCCTTTTGTTTGAGGAGTTGCAGGAATGCAAATGGGAGGTGATTCTTTTTTGGTGTTATCTTGTGTGTGGAAAAGGGCAATATGTCCTTTTTCAAGGCCATGGGATAACAAACTTTTGATTCTAAGATTCTTGCTTGCTCTTTATATCTTTACTCCATGGACTCGGAGCTTTGCTGGTCTCAGCCTTCACTTGTGGTTGACAATCCTTTTTGGGCTTTGGATTGTCTTCTCCATTTTTCAATCTTTGTTGTATGGGCACCATTGGTCGGGTTTGATCATTGGGAGGCATTTCGCAACACACAACTCTTTACTTTTATTTGTTAATTTGTTTAATATTTTGTTTTTTTTTTATATATATATATTTTGCATTGGTGATGAGGGCTGACTTTCACCTTATTCCTTAAAAATTGCAATTATAATTCTTAAGGTTCCGTTTGAAGAAAAAACAGAAGCAACATCAAATACTACAACTTTCCAAATGATCTCACCCTTTTCTTATCAAAATAAAAGCTTTGTGATTTTTTATTTTTTTTTATTTTTTTTGCTTGGACATGATGATCAACTCCATATGGAATAGAAGCTTACTTAAAAAAAGTGTTTCTTAATTTCAGGGGGAAAAATATCTGTACAGCATACACATGAATACAATATTCCTTAGAATGGAAGAGTTCATGTTCATGCAGAAATTACATGCAAACAACTTTAGATACATTATTAGATATCATATTGTATTGTGATGTGATCAGAGAAGGATGCCACTAAAACAAGCAAAAAAAAGAGATCCAAAATCAAATGACATGCAAGTTCATGCTATGGGATTGAAAACCCAAAAACAAAACTTACTTTTACTCTTCCCTTCATCAGAATTGGGAAAAATCGGACAATGCTGACATGGCTAGTAGCCACATTCCATATAGAACCAGTTGCCTACCATTGTGTGGCTGATGGTTGAAGGAGAGGGCCACATGACAGTTCTGAACATGGAATAGTGATTCATTTAGGGCAAATCCACATACAGTTTTGATCACTAAGAATCCATTATTGAATGCAACAATAATAAGGAACACAGAAACAGTGCCTGATGCTGACTAAAAAAATAATTCTAGTGCCTCCAAATACCCATATTATGTGCAACCCTATCTTCCTTAAAATAACTATTTGTCTAAGGGAATCAAACAATTAGATTAAATTGGAGGCGAATCTATTGGCCATAGCCCAATGGTTCAAGTGGAACTTATGGAAATATTTGGGAACTTTACTTGTAGAGTATACACATTTTATAACAGTTGCTTGTGCCATAAGAAGCCTGTGGAAGGCAACCACTCAAATGAATTAAAATCACTTCCAGACACAAGATCCTTTTATGACAAAAAAATAAAACAAACAAACAAAAAAATCAAAAATTAAAAGCATTTGGTAGCCTACAAAATGTAACATGAAACAGTGTATCTTGAAAAAAATTTACAGCCGAAATTACGTTGTTGATTTATTTTCTATATCTTTTTGTCTTCACAATTTTCACTCTTAAAACCTTGTGTTATCAAATAGCAAAAATGAAGGGAGGGGGGGGGTAGCCGACATTTTTCCATATCCTCCTTCATGTAGTAGCTGAGCTGAGCAACAATACCCAGTATGAGGAAGGAGTCAGTTCAAGCCTGAGAACACTGAACACGAAAGCTGTGTGACACATTCTTTGCCCCCTGAAGGTGCCAAATGTCAACACCCACAGGATGAGGTGGCATGCCAGGTCACTCCCATTTTTGAAGCAAATATCAGACTTGTCTTTTGCGATATCTACTAGGCATGTGTTCACCTTGTGCCACTCCATTAACCAGTAAATATTTTTGTTCATGGTACCTAACTTGTTCCAACGTTACCTAACTTGTGTACCTACTTTGATCCAAGTTGTAACAAAGATGCCAATGTTTTCAATATTGCTTTTTACTCTTTTACATCATATTGAAAAACTAGAAAAGTCTAAATTACACTTTCACTTTTTTTTTTTTTTTTTTTTTTTTTTTTTTTTTTCAAACACTTGAAACAGAAACAAAAGTATATTGCTGCACATTGTTATTTTCCACCTTGTTTATTGTTCTTTGTAATTCATTTGTAAAATATCCAGTAAATATCATTGGTTTTAAGACCCACAAATTTGTAAAACAGAGTGGAAACAAAGAACCCACTTGTGGCACAGTAACTATAACTCCAAACCAAACATTCAATACAAACATCCGTAGTTTTCAATTTGACTAAAGAGTGCCGTGTCTTGGGAAGGGTCAAAAAACGACAACAACAACCAATTCCATGACCCTAAAACCAGTGGGTCAAATTCAAGCAGACTTCCCTCACCTTTGAGCCTCATTGCTTGACTCGGAATAAACAAGGTGGACAATAACAATGCCCGGCATTCAAACAATAATGTATACTAAACTGAATTTTTTTACATATGTACGCAAAGGAGAGTCAATCTATTGAATAACTACCCCAAAAACACTCCCCCAACAACACCATGGAACTTTCCACATCTAATGAAAGCGCAGAGTCTCCTTCTCCATCTCCATCTCCCCCACAGGAAGCTTCTAACCCACCAACAAAAAAAAACTGTGAGCAGCAAGTCTCACTCTCTCACAAAACTACAAACCAAATCGCAACATCCCCTGTAGACCCAGAACAAAAGGTTTCATTTTTATAAAAAATAAATGGTGGGACCCTTTGGAGTACATGAAAATAGCGTCCCTTGACATACACACACAAGCACCAGGTCGCCAGCCACCCACACCAGCAAGCTATCGTGGTCAGAAAATAACGGCCTATCCTAGATATTGATTGCAAGATTCTACGAAATTCGTACATATTAGTAGCCGGGGGCGGAGAGCATGAGCGACGGATGTACATATATGGATGAATGAGGCTAAGTCGAACGAATGTTGGGCAGCCCTTATCAGGGCCGAGGGGGTTCGATGGGCTTCTGTGTTCCGAGAGAGTTGGGGACGAGAGAGCGAGTGAGGTGAGGCCGGAGAGCCCCGCCTGATCTGATTGCCCCCGCGACCGACCTCATCCCCAAGGATTGTGTTTTGCGAGTTAGGTTGAGGGAGAATTTGTGAGGCTGAGTGGTGGAGTTGATCGCGTCGCGCGAAGTGAGGTGGTGGGAGAGTGAGAGAGGGTGAGGAGAGGCGTCTTGGATGGGGGGTTCAGGGACGGAGAGCTTGGCAGCGTGTTCCTCCGCGAGGGCAGGCACTGCAGCAGGCGTAGCAGCTCTGCAGCGTCCCATGAGGCAGAAGCTGTTTGCGGAGAGGGTGACGCACTGCATCCCTGCGGTGGTGGTGAGCACGAGTGAGCGCAACGGGGAACTTGTGCGTCGGCGGAAGTTGTCGCCAGGAGTGGCGAGTGTGGCCAAAGCAATGGCGTCCGGTCCTGGATTCGGGTTCCACACGCTCGTCCCTAGTGAAGCTGAATTTCGGTGAGTGAGAGTGTGCGTGTGTTGGTTTCTCGGAGGTTTTGAAGTTGGTGGTTTTTCATGGTATGATCATTGGGGGTGTTGAAGGGAATATGTATACATATTTTTCTGATTCGGCTGTGGTGGTGATCGTTTGATTTTTTTTTGTAGGGAAGTGCTTGGCCTCGTAAAGGTAGGTGAGTTGGAAGATGAGGTTAAGGAGGAGAAGAAGAAACAGCCGAAGAAGATTGTGTTCAAGGGTTTCAAGTTGAAAGTTGGGAATGCTTCCTTGAGAAGGTTGATTAGTGGAGCCGTCGCGGGGGCCGTGTCAAGAACCGCAGTAGCCCCCTTGGAAACAATCCGAACTCACCTTATGGTTGGTACCGGGGGTAAGACTTCGGTAGTTGCTATGTTTCATACGATTATGGAAAGAGATGGCTGGCAAGGTCTCTTCAGAGGGAATGGAGTCAATGTGCTTCGAGTGGCTCCAAGCAAAGCAATTGAGGTGCGTTGTCTTATCCCAGACTCCTTACGGCAGGATTCCCCTGCAGGTGCGTCGCGCTAGTTGCGTAGAAGTAGACTTTTTTCTTAGATCTCACTTACCTCCTCAGATTTCCTCACGCGCGATTGAATGTGATCCGTTTTCGACACCGCGATTAACCCCTTTTGGGGTGTGCTGGAGGTTGAACTAAGTGGCTATGTTTGTATCGATTGGTTGTGTTGAGTGGCTTTACTTGTTTCAACCAGGTTGAAAGAATTATTACTGAGATTGGTTTTTATGCGCAGCTCTTCGCGTATGACACGGTAAAGACTTTTCTGACACCCAAAAACGGTGCACCGTCGCACCTTCCAGTCCCTCCCTCCACAATAGCTGGGGCAACGGCTGGTGTATGCTCCACATTGACAATGTATCCGCTTGAGCTGCTGAAAACACGGTTAACTGTTGAGGTAATTTATTTCACACCCAAGCCTTCATCAAATTTGTCTCAAAGGTCATTCCAATTGTTCGCGCGTAGGTTATAATTGGGTGTGCACTCAGAGTACCAGTGGACTTACCGGCCATTCAGTATGTCCCGTAATGGATTTATACACCTCTAGCAATCAATTGTACAAGTGAGGGGAGTTGAAGTGTTTTTTCTGGAATTGTTCGGCGTAGTAACAATAATTCGCTCACTAATTTGAACCTTCATTGCAGCATGGCATGTATGACAACTTGCTACATGCATTCGTCAAGATTGTGAGGGAAGAGGGTCCTTTGGAGCTGTACAGAGGTCTCTTGCCGAGTCTGATTGGTGTAGTTCCATACGCGGCAATCAACTACTGCTCTTACGATACGTTGAGGAAGACATACAGGAAAATTACTAAGAAAGAACATATTGGAAACCTAGAAACCCTTTTGATGGGTTCCATTGCAGGAGCTGTTGCCAGTTCTGCGTCTTTTCCATTAGAAGTTGCACGGAAGCAAATGCAGGTAAAAATGCTTTTCGAATTTTTTATTAGTCTGTCTCTTTTCTTTTCTTTTTCTTATTTATTTATTTATTTCATCGTCACCATGTTTTTGCCCAGATGGTTGGAGACTGTAGTTATGGCAGAATCTATCTGCTGACTCAATACTGCATCATCTGGTTCGTTGTTTTTGCTGAGGTTCGCATTCCTTCTCTTGAACGATACCTATCTGGAGGATATTGATCATGACAGATTTAAACCTCGATTGTCCAGGTTGGAAACATTGGAGGGCGACAAGTATATAATAATGTATTTCATGCGCTATCCAGTATTGTGAAGGAACAAGGCCCTGGAGGCCTTTATCGTGGTCTTGGTGCAAGTTGCATAAAAATCATTCCAGCTGCCGGAATTTCCTTCATGTGTTATGAGGCTTGTAAACGGGTTTTGATAGAGGAGGAACAACAGGAGAAGATGAAGGTGAGAGAGGACAAAGTGGAGATTGGAGTCAAAAGATGAAGTACTCGTAAATGCATTCCGATGACGTTTTCAACATTATGCAACAGTACTGACTGAGAGTATACGGAACAGTAGAAGTTGCCAGTGATTTTTGCATCCGACTACGTGTTACATGTCAAAGCCAAACCTTCAAACGTGATGGAGTAATGGGGGTTCATCTTTGCGGCGAATGGCTACTTTCATTAAATTCAAGGTTGGTACCTGATGAGATATATATACTTGTATTGGTTCATCTTCGCGAACGAATGTATATGAAGCTTCACGTCTTCCTTCAAAGTTCCGCTTTCAGATCGTCGTCCTCGAATTAGTTTGTGATCATATATCGGGCAGTGCATGCTGTAGGTACCATGTTGGAGAAGTTGTAGCCGAAGGACTGTCTCAAGCTGGATGGCTTTAAAGGGATAAGGTGGTTGTGGGAAAGACGAGCTGAACTTTGAGATGAGGACGTGTAAGCCAAGTACAAATAGGTTGATGCTCCACAACTGGAAGAGTAGATATGAAGTTCATACATGACTCACCATGTGATCGCACCAAGGTCCACTATACACGAGTATCATGGCGCTAGGCTGATTACTCACAAAATTTTGTCACATTAGTTTTGAGTACTGATGTTTGTACTGGTGCCCCGAGCTTGTAAGTTCCTGAGGCACCCTTTTTTCTTTTAGATATTTCACTGATGACGTATTCCTGAAAGAGAAAAGGGTTATCTTCGTTTGACCGGGCGCGGTTCCATAAACTGATCCCGATCCTTTCCACTGCCCTTGGCCGCATGTAATTTGCCATTAAAAGTCATTTTCACCTGTTGATATCCTGATAGTTTGAATATCAGTTCTGGTCTTGCTGATATGTCACTACAGTAAACTGGAAAGAGAAATTCGTAATATCATTTCTGGTCTTCTAGAAAGAAATCATCAGCCGCTACTGCTAGTGAAACATTGCTTCAGACATGTGCTGCTTAGCCCTGAATCATACGTTCAGTTTACAGTTAATAATGTGCATACATCTAGTGGTAATGAGTCATCTATGCTAGATTGTTTCCACTCGCAGCTCCACTATTGTAATACCGACCACGACCGTTCCTAACATGTAAGTGTTATGAAGATCTGCTACAGCACAAAACGTCTGTGCACAAGTGGAATTGAACAGGTTATGTTGCAAGAGTTCTGTCACACACTTCTCTCGCATTCCAGCTGACATCAACAGCATTGAGAATGCGCAGCATTGTTTCGGGTTTACAGTCCCATATCCAGCAAAGGCAGAAAACCTTTTCTTGCCCGATGTAAATAAGCTTGAACTAAAGATAGCGTTCTGTAATTTAATCAGACACTTGCCGGTTTTACTGGCGGCCTTGACGAGGAGCTGCTTTAAAGGAAGCAGAAGACAAAGACTGATTGCTGAAAATATACGAGACGATAAACACAATCTCCAATTCTGCTGTGGTAATTTTCACATGAGACCCACATCGGACTACTGATCTGCACTGTCCTGAACCATGACCAGCTTGAAGATTGAAAAGGAGGCACCTAGATGAACTACTCATCAGTGATATTTTCGAAACTTCTGAATCTCCTTACCATTTCCAGGCTCCAACTGAACGTGTTCCAGTTTTATTTGCAGCGAAGTGCATCCCGGAACTCAACCAGTGCTCCTCCCAGGTTGCCGGCAAATCGGCTGTTGCTGCACTTGAACTGCAAACGAAATGGGGCTTCGGCACATCATAACCACAGTCTTCGTGTTGACTCCCGACACCCGTGCTGCTGACGCACAGTAACCAGAAGCATACAACAGTTGGTCGATCCTGTTGGGCCAGCCTCTCCACGCATCACCCATCATCTGAGAGGAAGTTTGCAGCCTTCAAAGCTCCAGTGAGAATTTTGCAACCGCTGGGAGACCAACTTTCATCGCACTGCTGCCCACCAGGACCGTGCAGTCCTCCCCCTGTGCTCCTAATCCCAGAAAGCTTGCCACTGTGTTTTTGTCCGTTGAATCAGCAGCCATGGGCTTCACAGTGCCATGCTGTATTTGAAACTGTTGCTGGAGGTGACTCGACGACAGACTGTGCTGCCTTGGAAGTGACGCTGAACAGTAGTGCTCAGAATGGGCGTTTGGAGCCTACGTGTTAAGGTGGCTGAAGAGCTGTGAGGAGATTGTTTCAGGAACGAGGGGAAAGCTGCAAGTATACGGCTGCAGTGGGTTCAGGATTGATACGTGAGAAGAAGATGTGACAAGGGCACATGGATGTGTTGCAGTGAGCAGGGGTGAGAATGGGAGTGTGAGAATGAGGGCGATGTTGTAGAATGAGGGGCGAATGGTGAGTGAACGCAAGGACGGAAAGCCATGGCAGTGAATCACAGGGAGCTTGAGTTTGTGGGTATGTAGGTTTTTACATGATATTGGAATCGGACGTCTGTTGCTGCACATTCATGTGCAGTGAACGATGTGATCTGACAGAAAGGTGACAAAGAAACCAGAATCAAGAGATAGCAAGCGGATATGCGCTCTGGTGCCATAGGCGGAAGAATTCATTCGATGGGTTCGGTTTCTCGACCATTCTCAGCAAGCGTCTTTGTGATCACCCAACCTTGGTGAAGAAACTTGACATAGCTAACCTGCGAACCTCGTCTTGAATGACGATGTCACGGCGGACCGATCAAGTTGAGTTAGCATTTGTCGGTGAATTGCAAGTAGCTACTAGTCCTGGCTACCGTGTGACAAGACCTACAAGACGTACCCGGTAACTATAGAGCTTAGGAACAGCACGCTATTGACCACGGTCTTTTGCAAACATTAACAACCCAATTCAAATCCGTATTGGACTATAATTGGAAATCGGTTGCACACATAAAAAGAAAATTGGAGTTTATGTGATTGTAGTTGCAAGACACACAAATGGAAAGAAAAGAAGCCGTAACGACTCGATTAAACTACTAATTTATTGCAACTTGAAGGACAACGAAGTTGCGTAGACACTCACCGTCTGGATCTCACAAATTTCCACTGAAATCACACCAAAGCCCTTGCTTCGCCCCTTGAATTATTACAGAATCCCTTGCCAAACACGCATGTATTGGAAGAGACACTGCCGTGGAATTCAAGCCTCCTCTTGTTTTCCATGGGGCACCACTTGGCCGTGTCAAGCGGTAGACGTTGTGTCCATGTCAACGACTCTCCAGTTTTCGCTTCATCTCCTCAATGCATTCCGGCAGTTTCAGGTTGCCTAATCCCAGTTTTGTCTTCGACATTTCGATGATCGCGATGGTGAAAGTGGAATTAAAGAATGGGCTAACAGAATCTGAAGCAACAACTCTGCTACAGCTACAAGAGGGCGGCGCTTTCATTAGTTCTGTTGGGGTTCGATTCAGCGATTTATGAGATCATGGTGTGTTCGTTACTGTAGCTAACTGTCGTTGATTTTGGTGCCAGTGGCAGTGGTGGTCGGCGGATTTGGTGGTCGTCGGTAGGGAAAAGGGGCTACACCAATGTTGGGTGTATATTAGCTTACCAGTTTACGTAGCGTGAGTTTCGGTTTTTGGATGAGAGATTAGGGCTTTTCGCGAGGGGTTAGGGCCGGTGCTGCGGGCTGAATTCCCCAAGCGGAAGCTCTGCGGAATAGCGTTTCCGGTGGATCGGGCGATTAAGGTCAAGAAGGGAATAGTACTCATGGCTGCACTGGGGAAAGAATTGCCGCTGGACATTTTGATGAGGATTTTTGGGTTCCTCCCTGTGCCCTCTTTGTGTCGGCTGCGGGTCGTTTGCAAGCAGTGGAATGCCTTGATAGACTCCTCTGAGTTTGGTACTCTTCGTGCTCTAGCTCCACAACAACGATTCTATGTTCTCCTCACTCCCAGCAGGTGTTGTAACTCCGACGCAGGGTGGTGCGTCTTAGACGTAGCTGACGAGAGGTTCTACAACCTGGATAGTAGTTATCTCGTCGATTATGCGAAGAGGGAAAATCCTACTGGGGACAAAAGTTACTCCCTCGATACAGTGGACACATCGGGTGGGCTTTTCCTTGTGTCATATAGGAGGAAAGATGTGTCGCAGAGGTTGAACGTTCTCTACGTCTGCCATCCTGTGACGAAAACCCTAAAACAGCTGCCTCGAAATGTAAATATGGCTCATGAGTTGATCTTACCGATACTGACAGTAGATTATTCGACCAAGACTTACAAAGTTATATGCCTCGGGGAGCAGATGCACATGTATGACTCGCGGGATAGTGAGTGGAGTGAGCTGGCTAATCCGCCAAACAAGGCAGACGTGGTGTGTAGTGCTGTGTGTAACAACATAGTTTACACTGTCTTTGGTGAACGCTCTTGTCACATGCTGCTTACATACAATTTACTTGAGGATGCGTGGAGCAATGAAGTCGCCGAATTGCCATACAACTCTTTTGTACAGCTAGTTGTTGTTAGCGGGGAAGTTTACCTCGTTGCTGGCTCCCGAACGAGCTGCTTTTGTGGACAGGAGATGTGCTTAAAGTCATTTATAACAATTTCCAAGGTATTAACACCTCCTAGGGCTCCTGAGAAAATTGCGTGCATGCCAGAAACTTGGCATGCATTGCTCTACCCTCCACATCAAGGCTGGAACAATTGCGACGGTATTCCAATGTTCGTTGCGGTTGCTCTTGAGCGCGCAATTGTGTTTACATCTGCTAGCGGGAGGTTTGTAGTGTATGATTTGACTAAAGGCTTGTGGCGCTCGGTGCAGATACGGCATCAGTACACCCGGAAACTCGCTGCGAGCTCTACAACCTTGAACCCAGGCTTTCTGCTCTAACCGAAGGAAATCTCACCTGTCTATAGTCTTTAATCCTGATGTAGCTGACACCTTGTGTCACTTATGTATGATACAGGACTCTTTTGGTGGTCTGTGATCTGCTGTGTTTATTGTCAAACATTTGATATGTTGAAAGCTCCTGTTCTTCATTTTGGAACGGATGCTTTCACGATACTCTTTTACTACAGCGAGTTGTGCAAGGATTGCAGTTGCTGGAAGTACTTACAAGATGGTGATCAGTTTGTACCTTGTAGATAATTGGTAGATGTAGGAGGTATTGTGATTGTAATCACTCAGAAGTAGTGTTTACAGCTCGTAACCACCACTTCGGGAAGTTTCTCCAGCAAGTATATATTATTTTCTTTTAGAATTAAGCCAAATCGTGTGCTGAATTTCCTATTCGTCTTCAATTCTTTTCAACGCATGAAGCTTCTTGAATGATAAGATGTGATGTGGAGAGGGGCCGACGAAGGTTTGTCTAGTTCATCGTCTTTCGGAAGAGGATTGACGGCGCACTTGTTTATATCATTTTTATTGTTCGATATTTCCATGATCACTTTTCCCTTTAAGGGTTAACCACCATCGTAGTCATTTGGGTGGCGTGTTACTGCAGTTCAGAGTTCAATTACTGGTTTACAGTCTCTCTCGACAAGTCGTATTATTTAGTAGATGAGAGAGCCTCGAAATGCCATGAGCTTTTTTGAAACAGTGGATGAGGCATTCTGACAAGGTTCAATTGCCTGGACAACCATCACTACATGATCGATATGAGACTGCAATCATTCTTGCACCTCAAACATTCTTTAGCATGTAGCCAGCAAGACTTGGTCCAGTCGATCTTCCTGTTTTGTTCCTTGCACAAAAACCTGCGCTCGTTCGAGTAAACCGTCGTGTGACCATCAATGGGTAAACATGAAGATTCCAAGAGTTTATCCACTTCATGAGAAGAAACAGTGTGATACAGGCGCTATCAAGTGAAGTGAAAGCAGAAGCTCTAGTTACAACAAATTAGGCGCAAGCGTGTATCATGGGAACATGGGAACGAAGCAGCGTTCCAACTCTTCAGTACAGTGGAACAGAACGGGGTTTGATTGTAAAGGTAAACCAAAAGTGGCAAAACATGCTCTCTCAACGGCATATTGAACGTGAATATTCGAGGAACACACTCTCAATGGTGACATGAATGGGGTCACATTTTGGTAGGAGTGGCCATTCTGTGCAACGTCGGACCAGATACACCGCAATAGGTTCCTTATCTTATCCATTCTGATCTCTAGACAATGCCTTCATTGCTGCACTGTCCCACTTGATTCCGATTTGTAAAACATGAAGCACAGCAATGATTTTGAAGTTTGTCTCTAAGTTACATTCAAATGTCAGGACTCAATCATACCCAACACCATCCCTTTTACAGAGCTTTCAAACCGACGTTAAAAATTCCGTCAATCAGGATAACACTCATTCGTAAGACTTGAGAGGACACTTAGTGGCACTTTAGAGACCGGAAGTTGGAGGCTGCACTTCTCGAACTCCACCCTAAAGTTATGTCTTCTTGAGGGTGGTAGACGTTCATTACGCGAGTGCGATCTGCTTTAGTTCACTTTGCCATTAATTCCAGTGAAGATAGGGTCATCGGTAGGGTCAAGGATGGGCCACTTTCTCTGGTTTTCCTCGTCACACAGTTGGGAACCGGAACCGAGTATGCCGGCCTCACTGCAGCAAAGCCTCTAGAGTCGTGATGTAGGGGCCTCGAAAGAACCCCAGGAGAGGCAGATCTACCGAGGAAATGGAGCTTGGAACCTTGAAGCCTTGAAGTCTTTGTAGCCATGTTGTAGCCGTCACAACCTCTCCAAACTATCTACAAATGATCTGATAGTATGCAACCAAAGGTTGTAGAAGACGAGGACAAATTTTGATAATAGTATGGAAAAAGGTATGCTCACCTACTTGTCAAGTTTGAGAAAGGTTCCAGGATTGCAAGGATGACAGCCGAGAGTTGCTCACGGAAGCTGTTCAAGATGCGCATCACCTTTGGATCAATGCCGTTGTGGTCGTCCTGTCTATTTCCCCTTTAAGAAGATAGAATCGTGCCCACCCATTATTGTCATGTGGTGAAGGTCAGTGGCATCTTTAGAATTCGTTCCACAAAACGGCTACAAGTACTCTCTTGAGAAACTCAAAACCGGTAGACTACCACAAATCACATAGCCTCCACATCTCAAAGATTCTACCTAAAACTTCAGATGCAAGGAACTGCAGTGTCTGGAACAAAAAATCCACAAAAACAAAACCGTCCAATCCCAGAGAATCTCATTGAAGCTTCGAATTGTCCTGTTGCAAATGGCAGGGATCTCAACCACAAAAAACCCAATCGATGAAGACACCTCCACCCACGCTGCTCAAAGATTGTGCTCGGAATGCAACGATCTTAGCTTCAGATTGGAACTTGGGGACATAGGAGATGCGATATTAAGAACCATTTTGCAATTTTTGCAATGGTTGGATACTCGCACTGTGCGACATGTTCCAACAACTGTGCTCCGTTAAAAAGGTCACCAAAATAAGTGTCGAGATGGTGGATTGCTTGTACAAATAGTAGCAGAGCAGGATGCACTGACCCCGGAAAAACGTAGCAGATCCTTTTATGTAACGCACTATTTGGCTCCATTCTCACCATGGATTAGTTTGTCCTTTTATTGAAGGCAACCACATATTTGGCTCAATCTTCCCATCGGCAAGTGGTTTCAGTTGCAACCATTCAATGATCTGATGACTGTTTTGATGAAAAAGAGTGGAAATGAACGACCTCTTACTCTAGATCACATATTGATATATCCCACAAGTGTAATCTATCTACACAACTGTTTCATCCTTGCTGCAACACAGACTGCTCATGACAAAGCTTGTTCAAATCTATTACTGACCCCACTTCTCTAGCAGATAAAATCCTAGCAAATGTGATGATAGACTCACACTTGAACCTGACAAACAATGTTACACAATACAATTGAAACATTGATATCACTGTTTTGAAGTCTTTTTATTTATTTGTTAGAGTCAGTCAACTGAAGGGCTTTCCGTCACCCCATGTCAGCAAATATTCTTGTCATAGTCTTGTGTCGTATAAAAAAGATTATTTTTTTACAGCAATATATTATTTGAAGCAGAATTAGAAATGGGTTGAAGTGTATGGAACTGAGAAGACCGGCGCATCTAAACCTTTGTAATCTCGTTTGGTAAACTGAACTTGAACAATAACTTAAATGAATTCATAACTTTAAAACTTATAATACCATGCTCAAAAAAACTTGTTGTAAATTGCATAAACTATGTTAGAGTTTAAAAACTTATTTTTTAATCCTTAAATAAAGTATTTTTTAGATAGGCTATATAAATATTTTTTATGACTATACCATATAAAAATATTGCTTAAATACTAAGATAATAAATTTACTAATTAAAAATTGTAAAAATTATTAAAAAATTTGTATTAAGGTAATTTTGACAACATAAGAGAATGTATCATAATACTCTGAATCTTAAATTTGAAAGTGCCTTTATGTCATTATTAGAATTTTTCTCATTTAATAGAGATATTTTTGTATTAAAGAGCTAAAACCTATTTTCACTATTTTTTATTGTTTATTAAAATTTAAAATATTCTAAGATAGAAGAATTTGCAAATTTGGAAACAATATTATAAATAAAAAAGAATAAAAATTTATTCATTAGATGGTCTTTTTTATGTCTAAAATATAATTAAAGTATAATTAAAATTTTGATTTTAAATTTATTGTATTTTTATAAAAAACTGGTTGATTTTTAAAATTGATATTTTAAAATAGTAAAGTTTTAAAAAATATATAATATACATTGTACTTGTTTCTACCAATTTCTAATTTTTTCATGTATTTATTCTATTTTTATTCAATAGATTGAATATTGTGTCTTGTTGTCAATCAAAAAATATTTTAAATTAATTTAGAATTTTATTCTTGACAAAAATTTATATTCCTTAAATCAAAATATTTTTAATATTGTTAAATTAAATATCTTTATAATTCAATAATAATAAATATTATATATAAATATGTTAAATATATTATAATATTTAATTTTAATATAATATTTAATAAATATAATATTTCAATATCTTTTTTTAATATGGTTGCTTAATATGTAATGTCTTGCATGATAGAAGATAAAAAATTATCTTGTTTCTTATGTTTTGTTTTCTTTTTCTTAAAGTAGCTGACGTAAGCTTATAGAGATTTTTCATATAATCTCTCATGTATTAAATGGATTGTTGACATGCGTTTAAATATATACCTTATTTCTCCTATGATTGTTAATATACATTTCTTTACAACCACAATCATACATAACACTAGAGCAATTGTAGAGTAGCAATTAAAATAGTTGTCTTTCAAAAAAAAAATAGATCCAAAATTGCATATTCAAATTCAAATGTTAATTTTTTTAAGGCTATTCTTTGAATTGGTTTGTTAGATTACTAATGAATAATGAATCATATAAAATATCATATACTAATTAGTCTTAAAGTTTAAAAATGGACACAATTCTCACAATTGGTGTTCTTATTAGACATATTTATTTAAAATATTGTATTTATAAATCACATAGAAAGTATGTAGAGGCTTATGTAAGGCTATATATAAAAATAAAGACTATGATGATATACATCAGTACTAAATACATTTAATTGTCTTTTTATTAAATAATATTTTGATAATATTTCAAAATATAAAATAATATATTTTAAAGATATTTCTAAATAAAATCAAGTATATAAAATAACTAAAATATATTTAATCTCAATATAAAACAGCAAAAAAATTTAATTAAGATAGAGGTTATATTAAAAAAAGAAATGATAAATTTTACAGTTAGTTATATTAATATTTTATCTCGAATATATATTCACTACAAAATGTCATTTTTTTATTTTTATTTTTAAGTATGGATGTTTTAAAATATTGATCAAAGAGGCATATAAAAATATCAAAAAATAATTAAATACAAAAATTAACCTCACATGAGTTAAATAAGGATTGCTTCTTTGAGCTTATTTAAAAACATAAAAAAAAATTGATATGAAACAAAAGCAAATGACAAAACTTATATAAGTCGCTATGGATTGAAATAAAATTTAACAAAGAAAAAATATAAAAATATTACAAATAAATTTATAAAATATAAAATTAGAAATTGGATAAAAGATACTTATCTTGTGCTTATGAAGAATAAATAACAGTAAAATGTTATTAATAGATGTTTATCCAATTTAAAAGTATAGGCACATTTAAAATCTTTATATTTATTTGCTTATATTGATAGTCCAAAGACATAAGTATAATGAGCCTTAATAAATACATTTTTTCTAAGAATA